GGCCTCAAAACAGCTGATCATGCTGGAACTCACAGTGCCCTGGGAAGAGCGGATTGAGGAAGCCAATGAAAGGAAACGAGGAAAGTACCAGGAACTAGTGCAGGAGTGCAGGGGAAGGGGCTGAAAGACTTTCTATGAGCCCATAGAAGTGGGTTGTAGGGGCTTTGCAGGACGATCACTCTGCAAAGTCCTAGGCCGGCTGCGCATGGCTGGGGCAGCCAAGAAGAGGGCCATCCAGGCTATGAGTGAAGCGGCAGAGAAAGCCACAAGGTGGCTGTGGATCAAGAGGGCTGATCCGTGGGTAGCTACTGGTACGCAAGTCGGGGCCTGATCACCCTGGGCCAGTATGATGTTGTGAGACCCAAAATACCTGATGACCCCTGGATACATCACTGAAGATGTGTACCAGTGCATCCAGGAGATGTGTCTTTTATAGTAAAGAGAAGGTACGACCTCTCCCATGCTCTTTGCAGACTCCTAACGATCAACCCTCTACCAACATGATATTGATTATACAACTCTAAGCATATATGAGTAGATATTTATAAGCATAAATGACAATCCAACAATACAAATCTAACAAATGCAATAAGCAAAAACTGGATTGTTCTTCAAAAAGACTGCCATAGCTATTCACATGTCTCAGTGTTTCTTCCACAGGTGAAAAGTTTCCTGACAGGTGTGTTCAATAATGACCTAACCAGCTCTCTGTTGGGTGTGTAGACTACTTCCTCATATTAAAATTCCTGTTTGAACAATGAACATGAGATATGCATGCCTCAGCTGTGTTTGACTCGGTCAGTGTGTTTCATTACAAAACTGCCGCTTTACTTCAGGCTGTCGCTAGCAATCAGAAAGTGTTTCTTTTTGTCTTTCGTCAGATCTTTTATTGAACTGTGCAAGTATGCTCATCAACACTAGGCCAGGGGAAGAATTATAACTGCAACAAAGAAAGACCATTATTACCCACACCTGGTCAAAATGGCAAAAAGGAAAATCAACCATACTAAAATAAGTAGGCACACTATAAGTAAACCAGTTCTGAAACTGAAGCTACCAGTCCTGCAACAGAAATCAAGTATAAGAAAGCTATACCTATTTTAGTGATTGCAGTATAAGGTGGCCTCTTGAATTTGCCTGAATGCGAGGGCCTCCAGGATGGAAGCGGTTACATTTTTTTTTAAAAAAATGCAAACAAAGTTGCTAATCAGGAAACAGACAATGGGAGTGTCACGAACACCCTTTTGAACCTCGTGGAGGTGGTTTTCTCTTCGCTCTATTGACTCTGCTGAATCCAGGTAGGAGCAGATTCTTCTGTGACTTTTTTATTGTTTAGATAGAAACTAAACAAATTTTGTGTCTTGTGGTTGAAGATTCATCTGTAATTATGTTAAACTGGCTGGTTTTTGGTTCTACTCTGACTGCATGTATTTTGTTTTAAGGTATTTGCTTCAGTGAAGCTGCTCTTCCGTTTGACATGTATGTAAAACTTTTAGTTAAGAATCACATTTTTAAAAAGTAAAGAATTATTGTAAGTACAGTCCATCTACATTTCTGTCCCTCTGCCGATGCATATACAAATAATATTTTATGATCCATTTTATTTCTTGTCCAGATTCTTGTACAGCACTGCAAACATGTCAGACCCAACAAGACTAGAAATGGCATTGGCTGCAATGTTCAGTGCCTACATGTCCTACCAAGGAGATGACAATAAACTGACCAAAGAACAATTTCTAAAATTAGTGAAGAATGAACTACCCTTACTTTCTCAGGTAAGGAAAAACATTGTACTAAATAACTGCAAATGATTACAATAACTTTGGTGACATCCAGACACACTTTTAAAGTGCAATGTAAGGCTACGTTCACACTGCAGGCGAAAGC